TCCAATCTCTAACATTCTGTGAAAAACCAGCTCAGGATACCCAGCAAGGCAAAGTCAGAGGCTACACGTTGGCTCATTGCGGGTCCATGCACTGCATCCCTGCACTGCCACAGCCTCCCACAGATTTTGTGGTAGTTACCTCAGTCCTTTTGCCATTACTGAAATATTCTCAAATTTTGAAGGAATTTATATTAGTCATTTCCAATCTCAAGACATAAAATGGTGAAGATAAACATACATCAGAAATTTTCTTTAATGAGTGCTTTATTTGAATTTATATCATATCCACAAAAATAGAAACGGTCTTTAGAACCATTTTATGATACACAGTCTCCGAGCTGGGATTTACACTGGCAATAGTGAAATATCTAATGTGGATTTGTTTCCACATGTATACGTTGAAGGTGATGCTGTGAGAAGCAAGCAGGAATTATGCAATGTGCTGCAGAAAGAAAGATGAAAATGTAACTAAACATTTTAATGTCTGTGTAGTTCACTAGCCTACATACAGTTTCTCAGGATGTTTTTAGAGTACGTTGCTCTAATTTTGTGCAGAAAATACAGTTTGAGAGTGCTCATGTCAAGATCTTTTACACTGTGATTTTCATGTAACTATATAAATATAACATACTTTTCTATCTAGAGCTTTATACATATGAAAAATTATGATATGATAAAAATTTATACACATGGTGCTACCAGTTCAGCAGCTGCTAACTTAAAGGATACATCTAAAAATATGATTGCTCAGCCTCTGATATAGAAGAGCAATCAGAAATGTTTTTTGTTTAAATAGTAATTTACATAAACATTAATCTCTTCATTTTCTCCATTTGCTTAGGTCGGGCAAAAAGACTCCCTTTCATTGATTGCATCTGTCCTTGGCGAGAACTGTAGTTTTAAACAGTCCTTTGTGTTTGTCTTAGGCAAAGGTTAATATATTTGTAAAACAGTGTAAATGTTGTCTGGCTTCTATTCCAACTTTGTGCTGTTGTAGTGCTGAATAACAAGTACCTAGTCTGAAAAGTTCTGCAGAGTTGGAATAGAAACTTGCACAATTTCCACATGCTGAAAGATGTGACAGTGGAGGACTGGCATTTATACTGAACTCCTGCGTAAATCACTCTCTAGATTTATACAGTATGCTTCTAAATAAAGCTTTATCTTTCAAAACCTTTAAAAGCAGGTTTAGCTGCTGCTCAGTAACCAAGTGGTGACACGTGTATATTACAAGTTCATTTTCTCTCCAAATAAATCTGGTGAGAGATTTGATAGAAAGCAGCTTTATGAAGGTATTACAATCAGTTGTTGTAAGATATATGTTAACCTGAGATAAGGTACAACAGTATTGCATATTTGTGACAGTACCACTGATTTCAGATTTTCACCCAAGGTATGTATTGTGGCGGGGGGTTGGGAGGAGGATGAAGAGCATGGAGAAAAGGGCTGCAAATAGCTGTGGGATGCAGGGAAGGAATGGTCTTTGGAGCAAAGTGAAGGTGCTCTCCTCATCTGGCGGCCTGCTTCTTGTCATTTGAACTACAAAATGATGGTAAAAGAAGTGGAATGTAGCTAATCAAGCTGAAAAGAAAAGGAAATTATTGAGTTGCACAAAAGCAAGCAAGACTAGCACAGCCAGTTGAAAAACAAAAAGAAAAAAGAGAAAGAGACTGAGAGAAAAAAAAATGCTTTGAAGTACAGAGGCATATTATTTGATTTGTAAATAAGATGAACCTCTCTCCACCCAGGTTATGAAAAGTAAAAATATAAGGTAATTGATGGTGGGAGCTCTGGCATACATAGTATAGAAGGTGGTGTTATTGTTTGACATGCCCTACACGTGCAGATAACAAGTTAAGCTCTCATGTTTGCCTACAAATTGTTGCTAAGCGCATTTGGTACCCTTTATATTGATACTTCTGTTGTCTCTTTGTTTCATCTATGTTTCCTTTTAAGACAAACAAAAAATGGAATACCCTACAACCTCCAGCTGCACCTTGCTGCATTTCAAGCTAATATGGATTCAAATCCACGGGATGCCTGATGTATATTGGATGGATTTAACATTCTTAATTTACTTTTTTTTTAATTTTTTGGTCCTGGACTTGTCTGCCCCTGTTGTTGTTTTCCAAATTCCCCATCCCTGAAAAAGTGAGTTGAAATTGATCTTGATTTCACCTCTGTTAACACCACCAAGAAAATCCTGTTTCTCAACTCCCACATCTCACGTACTCAGTGACCTAGTGAAGCACTCACTGCTTCCTCTCGTTTTTATTTCCCCATGTTCTGTGTGTGCCTGGTGCCAGCAGGAAGCATTTGTGACTTGGAGAAAGAAAAAGCTGACAGTGAGTGTTCAGTCTCCACATACCACTGCTAGAGATGATTCCAAAATACTGACCCAGATCTGAATGTCCCCAAAATCTCAATGTCTTTATGTTGGTGGGATTTTCTCCAACTAAGAATCCCAAGCAGAATTGACAAATACAAATACAATATAGAGTTAGACTTCAGAAAAGCAAAGGGAACGGATATTTTTACGTGCAAAGGCGCTTTGCATTTCTCAAAGGTTTTTTGAAAGTATCTGTCCAAGTGAGACTTGACCTGCCAGGAGGAGCATTCAACTTCAGTGGAACTAGGGAGTCTGCTCCCTCGTGCCATGGGATTAATATATGTTCTGCTTGTCCACCTCCTCACTGCTTCATATGGCACACATTTGACTGCTTGAATTAGGAATGTAAGAGGGTGGGAAGAATATTAATGTTTCTGTGGGGAAACTAGTGCTCTTTATTAAGTTTGCCCAGTCAGAAAACAATCATCTTCTTTCAATAGTTTTTAGTCCCTGAGATTGACTCTCCTCCTGCTTCACCTCAAAGATGTAAGTTAAAAACAAACAGCCCTTTTTGTGGGATGAGCTAAATGGCCTTTGGAGATTAGGGAAGATACTCAGCACCAGGTATGGTCAGGTCCTAAACTTCTGTCTACAAAAGGTCCCAGTGGTGGAGGCAGTATGGTTTCTCCAAATAAAGCTGACAGCCACCTTACAGAGCCACTGGTGTCTGTGTCTGGGATAAGCTAACTGAAGAGGAGCCCGCTGTCAGACTCAACAAAAGCAAATGGAAGCCAGCAAAGTGTTGCACTCAGAAATCAGAGGAGGGAAGGAACAAGTGATATTGGCCAATGAAAGCTAAAAACCAGCTGACTGTGGAAGAAGACTACTTGGCTCAGAGATGCTTTACTGTTTCCTCCACTTATAGTTGCCTTCCAAAGTGGGTTATCATACTCCCTAAATGCCCTAGTATTTCACTCCTTCCTTTTCTTTGCATGACTCACAGCATTGTTATAAATCACATTATGCCTGTATGATTAAAAAAAAAAAGAGAAAAACTTCACAAGAAGGGAAAAATAATCATAATTCTATAATGTTATCTTATATCACAGAAAACTGTGTACATTTTTTCCCCATACAGGACATACTTCAAATAAAATAATTTTAACACCAATAATGATAATGTTCCTTCTTCCCGACAGAAGTAGAATTGGTTTTTCACCCCAGTTTGGTACATAAATATAAGGAAATTGTCTTTGAATATTTACATCCAGGTGTTTAAAATGTTATTTCTTGCCAGATTTAATTCTCGTTTTCTCTCCAGCCACGGGCATTCTTTCCAAATTTGTATACTAATCTCCGACCATCCACACGCTCAAGGATTTCTCTTTTATAATAGTATCTGTTAAAATAAAAACATAGAGAAATATCTAAGATTAAATTCACCTATGGTCCTAAAAGACCACTGCCATCTAGGCAATCCCTCAGCTAACTGAAAAGTCTTTATTTTCTATTGAGATATATATAATACCTAAGATTATTATAACCTAAAGACAGAGAAGAAAAAAATGATATCTTCTTTTTCTTTATATAATTATCCTCTGAATTTGAGTTTCATCATATCTCAGGTCATAGCATATTACCATATTTACCACCCACTCTTATGAAATATCATGGGTTTTTTTCACGATAAGCCAGGATCTGAAGTCAGACCAGGAAAGAATCTCAGCTTCCATTTAAAAATACATTTTGAACGTTTATAGATAATGTAAAAATGCTCAGAATGTTAAAGCAAAGAGCAAAGAAAGTCCTCACATAGAATTTGTAAACCTATTTTAAGATAATGCGTGGGGGGTATGTCTAGTTTCTGAACATTGCTGGAAATAACAAGGTCTCTGGCCACTACTGGGCCATTTAAGCCTTCCCAGTTCAGTAGCACGTGAACTTTCAGCTTGCTGCAACCATGTTTGTTTCCTGCATTGGTTGTTCGGGTGGACAGCAACAGAACGTATGTTATATATATAAAACATACATATGTTTTACATATTATATATATTATAGCACACAGAAATAAGAGCAGAAAGAAAAGACAAAGAAGAACATAATGTTACAATCTCAAAATTAGGGGGAGAGACTCAGCTGTCAAAGAAAGCAACTGGTGTTGCTGACAATTCATTTTAAAAAGTCAATCAGATTCTCCATTCAGGTGGCCTCTTTACATCCCCCAGTCTTCTACAGCAACGTCTCAGCTCACCTCATAGCCCGGCTGAGTTTCTCGTAAGTCATACTGCTGTTGTTTTTCTTCTTTCCCCAGAGCTGAGCCACAGCTTCGGATTTTAAAAATCTGAAGACACCTTCTGATCGGTCTTCCCACTTGATTAATCCTGGGTTTTTCTCAGGATTGAGAAGAATATCTCGAATAAATTCCCAAAGATGAGTTCCTCGAGGGTCTGAAAGAGGAAAGAGAGCAGGAGGAAGGAGTGCATAAAGAGGTCTCTGGGCTATGGTTGCCATCTTTGTGTCATGTTCTTACAATGTGTCATTTACAGATGGTGACCACTCAGTAGGGACAGGTCATAGTTTCTGGAGCGCAGGACCCCCACCTCAGAGATACGCAGGCAAAAAACACTAACAGCTTTTACACTGAGGCTGGAGGTGTCAGCTTTTGGCAGTCTGAGCCCCCATGGCAGGCAGGTAGGAGCCCCAGCAACCAGGGGAAGCAGAGTCCAAACCACCCACTGCTTGCTTCTGCCTTTGGCACTGTTTCTGCCCTGAAGATAATATCCTTAAGTCTTCCCCTCATCTCATTTGCCCATTTTTCCTGATATTCTTCTACAGCATAGCATGTAACCTGATGTTATCATGTGGTATGTGAAACAGCCAAGATAATTTTGAAGCAGGCACTGAATCTCCAAGCATTTAAAAAACAGACAGAAGGCAAAGGAGGTGAAATGCTGTACCACATCAATAAGTATTTGGTCCCAGTGCTTAGGCAGACTTAAAGAAGTAAGAAGGTGTAGTGTGGATAGAGGGATATCAACAAAACTGGCTATCCAAAACTGTGTGTGAAAAGGGTATAAAAAAGTTTGGCTGTGATATGAGAAAAGGCAAAACCAGATCTCTAACTTCAACAGGTAGATGTCCCAGTTTAAGCACAAATCCATCCCACAGTTACTGTAGAGATGGCACCAGAAAGCCCAGGTCAAAAAAGGAGAAAAAAAAAAAAAAGATTAAGTAAATCCAACAAGTTAGATGTAGTAGTTTACGAATAAAGAATAATGAACATGGTGACAAGTTGGGCTGGAAAGATAGCAGTCCTTTGGTCTGATTTCAAAAGTATGAAGGGTTTAGACCAAATTAAGAAGGAAACAAGCTAGACAAAGATGTGCAGGTGAATAGAAAATGGTATAAAATGCAACATGAGTAGATTTTGGTCAACTAATTCAATATTTTTCTTTGTTATTATAATTGTTTTCTAGAACCAACAAAGTGTGGTGGGCATAGTCTGTCTGGATATCAGTAATGTACTCATTAGATCATGATACAGAGCAGTACTGAAGAAACTAGAAATGTCAGGGATCAGCCCAGCATTGCAAGGTGACCTTTTTCTATATGCTGAGGCTGTGACTGAGTTCTTACAATCATAGAATATCTCAAGTTGCAAAGCACTGATAAGGAGTCCCACTCCCTGCCCCTTGCAGGACTACCTAAATTAAACCTTATGACTGAGAGCTTTGTCCAGACACTTCTTGAACTCTGACAGGCTTGGTGCTCTGACTACTTCCCTGGGAAGCCTGTTCCAGTGACTGACCACTCTGTCAGTGAAGAACCTTTTCCTAATGTCCAATCTGAATTCCCCTGATGCAGCTTTATTCTATTTCCTCATGTCCTATCGCTGGTCACCAGAGAGGGGAGATCAGCACCTCCTCCATCTGCTGCTCTCCTCAAGGAAGTTGTAGATTGTGATGAGGTCCCCTCAGCCTTCTCTTCTCTAAACTGAACAAACCAAGTGACCTCAGTTCTTCAGAAGGTCTGTCTTCAGACCAGTTCTGTCTAATACTTTCATTAGCAACCCTGATATATGCACAAAAACAGAAACAAAATATTTGTGCGCAGACAAGGAGTTCTGGTTGGGCAAGGTCGCAGTGCAGGGTAAGAAGAGGAATCAGGAAGAGACAGATAATCTGGAGACCATACTGAAACAGGATGACATAAAACACTACAAAATGCAGTGAAGGACAAATATTAAGGTTTTCTATTATAAACAGGGAATGACACGGGTTGCAAAAGACATATACAAGATATTTTCAGCATAAAAATCTCAGTAAAGTACTTTAGTGGAACTGTGTCCAGAAGTCACAATTATGGTAACCTATCTTCAGAGTCAGGTTGAATCAAAAATAGCAGAAAAAGCAGAGTGGAAAGACTGTCATATCAGAGGAGAAGGAGGTGACAGGACTGAGGGGCAGATGCTTGCTCATGACACCACGTGTGAGAAGTCATGTGAGGAGACGCTGAGCAGGGTCTCTGGTGCATGCCGCACCCAGCAGGCATGGGCACCAGCATGGCCATGCCGACACACAGATCTTCCTGATTTAATCCTGGGTCTCCTTCATCATTCCTTCACTCCAGTCCACCAACCCAGCTCAACATGGGGCAGAGGCAACTGGTTTCTGGTTGCTTACTCATAAGCCCTCACTGATAAAAACAATTTGAAAAGTATAACAATACCGAGTCAAAAATAACATAAGCAAACAGTACTAGAAACAGTCAGATCCTTAGAGGATTCAATCACAATGATGACTTTTGCTATCAAAATGCTTCCTTTTCCCTCCTGAAAGGGATCTGCTTTTAATGTGTTTCTCTCCATTCAATCAGCCAACCATTATAAACATGGATGTCGACTTACTGTGCTTCTTAGTGTGGGACTTTGGGGTATGATCTTGCACTTTTTTCACATCTGAAGAATCTGTAGAGAAGGAAAATGAAGGCTATTTGTAAATTTGATTAAAGGCTTTCCATTGACTAGCAGGTTGAAAGAAATAAAACCACAAAAAAGAATTAATATCTCTTTTAAAGATAATCACTTTTAAGAATGTAATCTAAGTGAGGAGGAAGGGGGAGAGTTTTGTTTTCTGTACTATATGTTAATCAGCACACTTCACAAAGAGACCATTGATGAATAAAGAATGAATACAGAGGTAAACATTTGGCTTTTGAAACTTAAATTTGATTAACAAATACCTCACCTCATGTTATGCGTGAGAGAGAGAAAAATAAGACGATCACGTCTTTAAAAGGAATCCTGAATTGTCCCATTATGTCTTAGTCTTTGCAGAAGCATGTATCTTTGGGGGCTTATTTGTTTCTGAAGAGATGATCTAATGTGAAATGTATGTGCTGGTACCAATGCACAGAACACCTACCTGATTAAAACATAATGAACTGGCAAAGTGTTGTTGTTTGGGAGGGGGAAGGGTGGGGAAACGGGGCTGCGTTGGTAGGAGTTTTTGGCAACTGGATATGCATATATTGTTCCATGGCTCAGAGCCATAGAAACAAGCCATTTCTCATTGATGGTACTTTATCACCTGCAGACAGCCAGAGGAGGAACAAGGTTTCTGGCACAAGCATTTCTTCAGAAATGAAGAAAAAGAAAAGTTCCGCCTGTTCATAACTGTAACCTACCTCGCAGTCTGCAGATTCAACCCTCCAGCTCTCAAACCACCACATACTGGCTCTGCTCTTGTCATTAATTAATATCTTTCACCTGATCATTCTAAGTCTAACAAAATCTGTGGGATAGTACTGAGAGGGAGCTCCTTCTGTGTTTTCTTTTACACATACTTTACGTCTGAATTCCGTGAAGCAAAGTTTAAGGTCCCACGCACGTTTTCCCAGCTGCTATGAATGAACAATTATCATACTTTTCATGGAAACTGGGCATTTGCATGGGAAAATGACTCACAGGAAATAATAATTTGCATAGAAACTTGTTGGATTTGCACAAGCAACTGCAATAACTGCATGTGAAAAGGTAGATGCAAAACTATTCACACACTTGCTTTATTCATACATAACTGGAAACATAAACTGAACATGTCAGTGAGGATAAGCCTAACCTCCACTATTCTGAGCCTGACATAGTTATTGTCCTCGACCCCCAAGCAGCAAACACGCTCTGAGTCATTTTGCCTTCCCACTCTCAAAAAGCAGGAACTAGCCTGAACCTCACTCAGCTTGGGGGGAAAAAGTAAAATGAGGCTTATTTCACTGCCTTTCCTCAGATTATGATACTCCTGATGTTGTTTAAAGCCTGTGGGAACTCCAGGCAAGGACAGCAGGACCTAGTCCTTTATTTGCCCTCATATGTAGATCTTTCTCATTTTAAAATCCCACAATTCGCTTGCAAATGCTTGTTATGCTCCACTTAGCTGGAGATTTATTCTTGGAAGTTCAGTTGCCTGCTGCCTACCTGGTGATTTAGTCTGTATTTCAGCTGTGTAAATAGCCTCCCACTCTGCCTGCGCTCCTATGTGGAGACCGGCTTCAAACATGCCGTGTTAGGAGGCTGGGGCCTGACAGGTTAGAAGAGTTATGATGAATTTTCAACAAAGCTGTCTTGCAAAACTTTTGACAAAAGGTTGCACAGTATTTGCATATGATTCAGGAATGAGCCATTTTTTTTATGGGATATACAAATTTAGTTTTTACAGGAGGCTGTGCCCTTGGCATGTCACCCTGGCTCTTAGGCTTGAGCAGTCAACGGGTAAACACACAGTGCCAGGATCTTGACAGGTCCCCAGTCTTGTCAGAGAGCTCTGAAATCCTGGTAGCCATCTTGTGAGAGTGTGTGGAGGTGGCAAAGAAAGCAAACAGATTGTTTGGCGTTTTTTAAGGTTTGGTGGTTTTCTTCTTTTCTGATCAGTTTTTCTCTAATTTTTTTTTAATTTATTGCTGAATGCATTAGTCTAAACTGTATGTCACTTGGCAAGTCCATCTGTGCTGGGAGGCTGGGGGATGCAGCAAAAGGACAGGCACAGGGGCTGTGACTGCCACCCATGTGCAGAGGCACAGGGTTGCCCCCAGTGCAAGCTCCTGCGAGGCTGCATCCACAGCAGTGTGCTTTCCTTTCTCATCCTCCCATGACTTCCACTCCCTCAGGTTCATTTGCTCTACAGCCTCCTAAGAAGAACTTGCCTTTCCTTCCCCGCTTTCCTGCTCCCCTGCCATTTCTGCTCTCCTGTTTTCACACTGCCCCGCTCTCTTACCTCCGCCGCTGGTGCCTGCCTCCAGGATCCAGCCCACAGAGTGTCCTGGCACATGTGCCTGGACTTCGCTTTCACCGAGCACTACAGCAAAGGGGTTTGGTCTTTCTCCTGCCCTAGCAGGCAGATTGTATCTCCACCGCATGGGGACACTGCGGAGGGGTGATTCTTCATGTCAGCTCAGGCGGGCTCCAGCAGGAAGCCCTTCTGCTGGTGCGCTGGGCAGGGGCCTTCATGCCTGCCCTGTGGCTCTCCCGGGCCAACCCCAAACCTGGCCCCAAACGTAGCAACCTACTCAGCATGAACCACTGGCTCACTAGGTAGGCACAGCCGCTTCTGGGGAGGAACATGGCACTCATTTGCCCGTACCCAGCCGCACCACAGAAATGCGTGGTAGAGCTGGAATGTCTCGTCTCTCTGACACTAACATCTTCCCCTTTGACTCAGTCACTTAAAAGATATGTGGAGATTGCAAATCATTTGATCTTCTTTGTCTTGACAGAGAGAAGAGAGAAGCATTTCTTTAAAGCAAGCTATTGTAATAACCATAGCTAAAGAGCTGTCAGAATCAGTATTGCTTGGTTTAAAATTACTGGAGGCTCAGATTCAATCCTACAACAGAAGACCACAGAGACTATTATACCTTGGTAGTTCTGGGACAACTCACAAACAATCAACAATATAATTACAGGTTCCTTACCAGGAGGCGGGTGATTAGGTGTCATCATGGAAATCTGAGCACGACAGAATGTTTTACTGTCCAATAGCTCTGGGAATTAAAAAAGAAGATATTTAAAGTAATAGCCTCAGACAACACTAAAACCATATTCAGAAATGCATGAAGTATTGTGATGTTAGTTACCTACTGTGCTACCATAGCCACTGTCATACAGGTAATTCTCTTCTTTCCAGGACACCATTAAGGACGGATCTTAAAGTACAGGACCAAAAAGAAAATCAGATCTCTGAAAGAACATTTTTTTAGCACAGAGGTGAATATTGAGCACTGAGGGAATAAGAAATGTGCAAAAAAAGAGTTGTGAAGGGAACCAAGTAGTGAAGGGGCTATGCACAAACTTATTTCCTTTCACTCAAATTATGGGTTGGGTTTTGCATACTCAGATAAATGTGCTTACACAAAGCACTGACATTTAGATCCAATGTAGTAGGGTCTTCCTTTTTCTGACTAATATACAATTTATTCCTGCCCTTCAAGGAGGTTTTCTGTGCCAGATCAACTCTAATTCTACCCAATTCAGTCCTGATTTTTCAGCCCCTGGTGTTTACAACAGTGCTTTGGTGCCATAGAGATGAAAGTGTTCTCAATATCTAGTAAAATAGGAGGATGCTTATAAAGAGTATTTATTTCTATAATGTCAGAAATCAAAAGTCCCCTCTGAAAAAGAGCTTCATGTGTAAGCACACAGTGAGAAACATTGAAGCCTAATCTTAGATGAAGTGCCATTTTATTCCAGGCACGCCAAGTACCCATCCTTAACCTATAAATTACCTTCATGATTAAAGAGGAATAATTTTTAGTGACCTTCTGGTCACATGGATCAATATAAGCAGAACAGAAGTATTGTCTTTATGAACTCTACATTGATCAGGAAATTACTCTTTTCAGAGTGCATTTTTGAGGTCAGAAGCCTTAAAAATCTCTTTTTTCTTTTGAATCCAGGCCAGAAAGGATGAGATGTAAGGTTCAAATCTAAGTTTTAATTATTTTTTTTCAATCTTTATATAAATGGAATTTTAAAAACCCAAAAATGAGTTACAGCTAAATCATCATGTTTGACTGAGTTACCACTTATGACATAGGAATTTAGCAGGCATGCTAAGTAATAGCTGCATGTTTGGGCACCCAGAGCTTGTATTCCTACAATAGCACACACCCTTTGCTGCTTGGACACTTGATCTGACTCATGTTGCCTCTGAAAACAGGCCTTACCTAGCCAGAACACGGGCGACAGCTTGTCTTCCCGTTTTGGCCTTTTTTCAGTACTCGTGTGCGATGGTCTACCAGGATGAGGCAGGCTTCTCCTCTAAACCACCAGCCCCTTCCCTGCTGGCTCACAAGGAGTCTCTTCCCCAGCAGCCCCAATCTGCACTGCCTGCTCCTCCCCATGCAGAAACTAAACCCACTCCCTTTGACTGTGATCAGCATTGCCAGAGCCCCACCACGCCACTCCTGATTCAGCACAGCTAGGAGAACCATCATTTAGTCCTGGGCTTTGACCTTTCCAGGATGTGCAGCTGAGGTACTTTTCCCTGCACTGTGTACCTCTAGTGGGAGGAGAAACTAATGTTATACCAAGATCTCATAAATCAGGACTTAAAGGATTCCTGTAGTTTCCTATATGGCAAGCATTGAGGCTGCTGCATGCACATCACGTGCACTACGTGGGCGCAGGCAAGGAGTGGACTGCAGATTGCAATGCTTGCCCACTACAAGGAGAAGGTGAATAGTGTCCCTGTCTGGAGAGGTTGGGTTAGCTGAATAAACAGGCTAGCAGTATTTGTTGGAGACATCGCATGCTACGAATCTGTATTGGTTCTGCCAGGAGATATTAAACGTGGCTCATGAACACAGCCACACACAAAGAGGCTGGGACTAGTGGGATAGAGAGTGTTTAGATATGGACAGAGGTGCTCTGGCAAAGGAACCGGGAAAATAATCATGCCTGAAGAGGAGGATTGAACTGAGCTGCGTTCTTTTCTTAGTGAAACAAAGTCCTGGGAGGAAAGGGATCTATCTGGGAACACATGAGGGAAAAAAAAAAGAAAAAAAAAAAAAAAAGACTGGCACATGAAAAAAAGCAGATTTGGTCAAACTAAAATACTACCTGAATTTCAATTTCATTCAAACGTGAAGAAATTGAAAGGTAACATTTTTTTCTCTCAAAGTTGTTTTGTTTGGAAATTTCCTCATGTTTCAAACATTAACAGCACTTCACAACAAAATATTTTTTCTCTCTCTTTTTTTTTTTTAAACAGAGAATACTGTGAAAACAGTTGTTTTGAAATCTGCTGAATGACTCATAGAATGAAGTCCTCTACAAAGCTGTGCTCACTGAGTACTGCAAACTGGTCCAACTCTGAACATCACTATGGACTGCTGACAGTGCAGAGGTCTCCCAGGAAAAGGAGCCACATACAAACTATTATATGGTGGTACTATCTGAAACTTCAAAAAGTAAACATTGGCTGATATTTGTGTTACTTCTTTTATTCTGCATGAGGCACTTTCAATTTTATTTTGTGCCATTTTGATATCTCTCTCTTGGAATGGGCAGTTTCTCCTTTTTGTCATCATCGAAAGACAAGTTATCCAACTGTTACTCACCTGCTTGCTCTGTCTTCACAATGACATTATGAGATTGGTATATGTCACTTCCACACTGGCCTGAAAGAAAGCATATGGCAGATAGGACATACAGCTACAGCTGAGCCAGAGGGCTAATTTTGGAGCAGGAAACATACCCTTTTTGCTGGTCCTTCACACTTCTGTCTTATGTCATATCTAAGCAATTTAACAATACTGTGCATGAGGTATAAGCAGCATAGCAAACATAGCAAATTAGACCTGCCAGGTAGATCTCTGTAAAACATAAGCAACTTCTGAAGATCCCAGAATTCAGACCACTGTATGTGCATCTCTGCCTAATATCTATTTACCATTCCATTTTAGGTGCTGAAGGTTGCTGTAAAGCAGTTGCCCTGCTGTCCCAGCTGCCTGAGTGAATTCCTGTAGGCTCATACTGCACAGATGTTCCCCATTGATATCAAACTCCTGGAAGGGTATGCAGTTGGCATCCAGTTGGTTGGTATCAAGGAGATGCTGTAGCCACTCCCAGACTTGAAACTTAGTCCAGTACTGTGGGTGTATTTCATGCCACTGGGTTCCATAGAAGCTACTGGACACTGGAAAAGAAAATAGGTATTTACTGTCTTTGTTAGCACCATGGGATTATGTTGATGACAGTAAAGGTCTATAGCTAATTTGCATGCCCTGGAAGTCCACAGATCTAGATTCTCTTCTCAGTCCTTAACATTATCTCAGTAGCTACTGCTGGAGAAGGCATTGTTATTTTTTGGTCTCTCTTGGCAGATTGAGTATGTAGGAATTAATTTATTAATGTGGGTTAAATACACCAAAATTCTTTGAGGGAAGATACCTCACAGACGTACTGTTGAAAAGGTATGTTGATCCCTGTGCAGGAAAATAATTTTAGTGCATCAGAAAATGATGGAAAAGCCTTGCAAAATTCTCATAATGTGACGTAGAAAGTTATTTTGAATAAGGACTTAATAAGCACCGTCTATAAATTGCAGGATTCAATCAAAGAGCAGTAAAAGCCAAGGCACTCTCATAATGCTCCACAGTAAAAGCCTATCAGTATGGCCCACAGATTCATGATAGAGCTCGTGTTCTGATGAATACACCTTAGTTCTGTAATCAGGTAAAGCAATATCTGAATGCAGCTGTAAAACTCATTTTTGGTTACGAAAGCTGGCTAATTTTCTTGTTAGGATGTCTGAATCTTTTCTTGGCAATCTTTTAAACTGCTCTCAGTTGTATGTCATTGCACGACAATAATTTACATGTGCAAATGAAAGAAATTGTATGTGAGGATAGGATAACCATATAAGATAAGAGCAAAGGTAGGACTGCTTTGGTCTGCCTTCACCAAAGGGCTGGCAAAAGGAATTCAGTGCAATTTATTCCTTGGGAAAGGAGGCAAATGGAGTATGCCAACCAGAGATGGTGGCATGATAAAATGCTCGCAAGCGCATGAAGTGTTTAAGGATGAGGCAATGAGAGATTGCAGGGGTGGCTGAACTACAGGAGGTGGAAAGACTGCCATGGCCTAGCTCTAAAATAGCCTCACTGCACAATGTGGCACCACTCCATTCTCAGTCTCCTGAAGAAAAAGATTAACCGCACAGCTGTGAGAAGTACTGATAACAGTGGATATTGCTAGAGGGGCACAAGTAACAGAGTTGGCACATTTTAGGAAATCACCTCCCCTCAGGTCCCACTAGACTTCAGGTCTCTTCAGCTGAGATACAGTGCACAATGCTAGTTTCCAGGTAAACACAAAAAAGCCCCACAGTTACTTAGGTTTCTTTGTCAGTATTGGCCAACAAGGTCTGTGTCAGTAACTTACGGAGTTTGCATGACTGTGTCTCATCCTCCTCTTGAGGGATTTGGGGAATGAGTGAGGAAATTATTAAGAGTGTGGTGTATCAGAGAATAAAGGTTTGATGGAGCCATCAAGTATGCCCTGAAAAGGAGGTTGATATGTATTCCCATCACAATTTTAGAGGCCACTGGACTCCTAATGTAAATGGAGAGCCTTTAGTGAGAGGAAAGAGCAGCTAGGTAAAAGGAAGTGAAGTGGTGAATGATTGTAGAGGCTGGTCTGAGCTTTCAGCTTCCTGTCCCTCAAAACATAACTGAATCCTGGGGAATTTCACACTGGAAACATGAAAATAGATCCCACTGTTTCCACTCATGAAATCCTGTGCAAGGTGAAACTCAGCCAGGACTTTTTTCCCCATGAATCTGTTACAAACAGTTCGGCACATTTATTAAGTGCGTGCTTATGTATTCCCCTGTATTTAGAAATTACACATAAAAAAAGAACACGAGTTTCATTTATGGGAATTTTCAGTGTAAGTTTTGTTGCCACATTATTTGGATTAGAAGGGCAACTGCAGTATGTATTTGTCTGCTTAGACTTTAAGGTTTACCCTTCAACTGAGTGATGAAAATAATTTAAAAATTATATCAAACACTATATATATAGATGCATGTCTATATTTTTTTATTGAGAGAGAATATATATGTGAACACACTTGCATATATATAGCCACATGATCACAAAACAGTAAGAAAAATAAAAGTTCTCAGATCACAAGCTATCTAGTGCTCTAATTAGCTATCTAGTAATTTGAGCTGAAAAAGCAAATACAGTAAAAGAGCAAAAAGACTATTCTGGAAAGCTGGAGGGGTGATTAGCATTTAAGAGTAATGTTAGTTCAGAGAAGGTGTGAGGGGTAAAAGTAAAGAGAGAAAGAATTCTAGACTGAGGAGAGGGAACTTTTGGCACTTTCAACACCACCAAATTCATTCATAGAAAAAGAATCAGTAAGGAAATGAACCATAAACTGCTGACTTTCAGAAACTTCGTGTTACTTAGTTCAGCTTTTTACAAATAAAGTAACAAATGGAATTTTTTCTTACTAGAAGTGAAACTCCAGTAAATTAGTACTACTGAAAAATAATACTTGTGCATGCTCAAAGGTGTAGTAGCCCCTTACCCCCATCTCCTCCCAAAAAACATGGCTTAGATCCATTAAATTCCACCTACCATTGCATGTGGAGTATCCGTCTGTCCAGGAAGGCTGCTGGTGAAGTAAATTGCTGCTGGAATTGATACTCATTCTGCCAGCTCCTTCCAAAATCATGATCTGTAAGCAAGTGAATCGAAGAGCTTGCTTAGAGAGTGGTGTCTAGCCCAAGAGGTAAAAAAAAAAAAAAAAAAAAAGAAAAAAATTCACTGAAGTTGAACTGAGGAAGCCAATTCCATTTGTAGAAGATACAATTGAAATCAAGAACATGTTGCCACAACCCCTTTTCCACTGCCACAAAATCTCCTTATGATAAACATTACCATGATTGATTTGCATATGCAAGAAGCAAGTTTCTACAGCTGCCCATCCATAAATGAACAATCTGTAATCAGAAATGAAGCCGAATGAAAAGACAAGGCTCCTGACAGAGCAATGCAGGAAAACTGACAGTCTTTGAGAAATGAAATGCTAAATAGCTTTACTTCTTTTTATTACTATTATTTTTAAAGAGAAATGTGATATAAACATGCTTTTCTTTTTTTCTTCTCTTTTTTTTTTTTTTTTTTGTGGACAGAGAAAAGACTTTTCAATAGTTGCAAACGAAACTATACAATTGACAACAACCCATGTTCAGAAACTCCCTCCCACAGAAGGACCACTTGTTAATGCTGCTGGGAGGTAAGGTTACAAGGAATACGTTGTCAGCTGACCCAGTTTCTTATCTGTTCTGTGTCAGCAGTGTTCATAATACTTCTCAGTCACAAATGTCACAGATCATATATTTCAAACCACCAAAAATCTGATCTCAAAGATCTTGTAAATGAGACAGCCATTGTTGTAACAGAAACAGCATTTTGGAGTGACACCACCCCCAAGATAGCATTCCCTCTTTTAAGTGAAACAAACTTTCATTTCTACTTATCTTAGCATTAGCAGCATGAGTAAAACTGTCTTTTATTTTATTTATAGTTTTAAGAAAAAAAACTCTACCTATATTTATCACATATTCATTGCATGCTTAATCATGCCAGTGAAGGTATACAAAATTCCTCACTTGCAGGTATCCTTGATATTTTACATTATTTTACAGTAGTTTGAAGTTGCAAAGTGTAAAAATATACATTTTAACTGTAGACATTCTTCAAGAGTTTGGGAAAGTAATTTGTTGAATATTATAAAGGCTTCAGATCATTATTCTTATATAAATATACAGAAGAAAACCAAATCATTGTTCAAAAATATTCTAAATTGAAAGCCACAAAGTCTGTAAAAATGAAAGATTAGACATCAGGATGACAAGTGCATGCAGCTAGACTTCACCTTGGAATTAAAAAGAGGATGAAATAGAAAATGAACTTGTGAAAGTTGAAGTCACTGGTCTTGGCTGTTTACCCACTGAGGCCAATGAGAAAACTTCCATTGAGAGCACAGACTGACCTCCTGCAAGCTCATACATGCAAACCTTTTTGTCAATAGAAACACTGACAGCCTTGGTTTTAAAGAATAGCCTGCAAATGACCTGTGTTGGTATTTTCCTCTGTCATTTAAACTAAATTATATAGCTTTTAAAAGTTACAAGTCTCTCTCTCTTCCCTCCCCACCATATATATATATGTATGCATATATTTAGAGAAGGAGAAGGGGAGAGAGAGTTGCTGAGAATTACTTTTAGGAAGTTTATCACAGTGAATAGTGCTTTACAGTGTAACCTAGTTCAATGCGGTTTTTTGTAGCTATACAGAATGGCAAAATCAAATCTTGGATGTTTTAACAGTTGCTTTACACTCTTAATTCTAGCTAATCTGTGACTCAGTGACCATCAGTAAAGATAATTTAATTTCTCATAGCAGGTATGTGTGGGTATAAAATATTAACGATTAAGACAGATACCGATTGTCTCACCTTGTCCAAATAAAAGATGACTGTCATACCAGTCAGTAAATTTTTTGCTAGTTAGAAGAGAAGACCTTTTTCAGTCCCATGTTAAAGCCAAGTCGCTTAGTATTGTGAGGGAAAAAAATTTAAGGAAGCATTTAAATTTATTATAATAATTATAACGATGCTCAGCGTATAATTTATATCATATACTTGATATGTAAGAACTTTTAAACAACAATGCCTGTCTCATAGTCAATACATACACTTCTGAGATTGTACAGGCAGATATATCAAGTTATTTATTTAACTTGGCATTTAAAAATTTAAGAAAGCTAGGTATGAATGAATGAAGTTTTAATTATAAAGACCTTATTACAGTATCAGTTAGAGGTGAGGTAGACTACTAGCTATTCTGGAAAACTATAAAACTTGAGGATTATCAAAACAGTCTTAGGAACTTAGCTTGGTAAATTAACTTCTTTTTAAAAAATTACAGCATGCACTTAATATTGAATTTCAGCTTATTGGTATGAAGTCACATTTTCAGAAGCCATCTCAGAATCTCCGGTACTCTGCTTCTGGAATTCTACATAATTTTCATGCCTGATACTTGTGCAAATAAAAATGCATCTGGGGAAATGTGTATCAACTGAAATTATTTTTTTGTTCAAGCTCCTGTGGAATTTTGCCCTGAAAATTCAGTTCAGGTAAACTCTCATTTTTACTTCTTCATAACAAATCAGGTGAATTTCCAAACCAAAAGATCCTATGACACTTTGATTCAGCAACTGAAGCTATGGGTAGTTAAATAAACCAAATTATGTGTATTGCACAGTTTCTCCACCCCAGCAGTAACCAAAAATCAATGCATGTTAGGGATCTGAGAAGAAGCACTCTGACAGCCTTTTCCCTAGGTTCAGATTTCAGCTATTTTCCTTTAAAATCTTTTTTCCCCATCACAATCTAGCAGACAATTGCTCTCCACAGTATTCCTCAATAACATTAATAGTATTTTCTGATAATGTGCATGGAACTTGCTTTATAAATTGATCAATCAGTACATCCCATTTTTGAACACTAGATAAGTTATCTCAACCAGAATAACTTAATTAATTTCCAATATCACCTGTGGGAACAGTTGTTCATGAGTGGAAGAGATTGCAATATGACATTAATCACAGGAACAGGGCTGGATTTAGCTTTAACTCAGACTTTCACAAAGTTCTGCATATTCTTCAAGGTACTAGTTTTCTAGTTTTTTGTTGACTTGAAAATTGTCAAGTCAACTCCTTTATCCTAATGCAAAGGTGTTCCTTATTTGGAAATCATTCTAGCACTTCATTCAGGGTGAGTATAAAGTCCCATTAAGGTAACTTCCACGCCTTTGCTTAGAAGTGTACAGCATCACACTCAAGAATATCTTCCCTATGAAAATTAAACTGTTCTTTTCTCCATTTCATCCTGTAAGTGTCTTTCTTTGATACAAGTTCATGACAGGTTTATGCTTATAGCAGTGTCTCATCCCATACTTGGAAAGATTTTGAGTCAGGACATTGGAAGGGGCAAGCTCTTCATTACTTTAGGGCCAAATCCTCAAATCTCCCTTGACAAACCTGGTTAAAGGGTGTGAAGCCTGAAGGGGAAGGACACATAATATGTTAACTTTTCTTTTAATCATATGCCACATATCAAAGTGAACGGTAGAACTAATGAAGCCTGGTTTCCTATAAATGTGTATCTTGTGGTTGGATTCTCTAGTGTCTAGTAAGATGTGAGCACTGATTGAAGTTTTTCCCACGGTTGGGGCATTCATAATATCTCGTTGTCTCAAAGGAGTGAGCTCAAGCTTCACTCTTTCTTTGAGATGGAGTATTAATAGTTTTTCCTCATGTACTTGGCAGCCACTTTTCATTAATCCTGTAAGAATAATATCTTTGAGACTTCTACCCCATATCAAATTTAATTAAAATTAGCGATGGGATTCAAAGATTGTTACAGGCTAAATGCAAAAGCCAACACACAGACAGAATAACCACAAAAACCTAATTTCCTCAGGAAGCCACATTGAAAAGGGATTCTAGCTGAGCTGAGATTTTGGAAAACAATGTAAAGATCTTGGGATCTGCCTCTGTTCTAAGACATGGTACATTATAAATGAAGGCACACATGAAATATCATATGTGTATATACACACATATATTTATATACACATATGCACACATACGCCCCTGTGTGTGTGCATTGTAGGTATCTGTACACACATTTCCATCCTTTTCCACTGAAGAGGAGCCATCTCTGGAGTATAATCTTATAACACTACTAGGAACACTGCAGTCATAGATTTGTGCACTGGTGTTAGCAACATACTAGAGAGTCCTGTGAGAAGGGGTGAATGCATTAAAAAAAAAAAAAAAAAAAAAAAAAAAGAGACACCTTTCACCTACATTCAATATATCAGGTGGTATTCAAACCCTTAAGGCCTCTCGTAGTGAAAGCTCTCACTGGAGTCAGGAGCTTTGACTGAGCCACAACCCAGCAACTTGGCAGGAGGCAATTTGCTCTGTTTTTCTTGTCTTCCTTGACTGCCTGACCACTCTGAGTAAATGGCGGTAATGGAAAGAGCAAGGAGCCATGGCCTGCCCATGGAGCAAATCCAGCATTGCAGAAAAACATATTTACAAATCCTTGAACCTTGAACACTGTATAGTGCACTCTATGCAAATTATTTTATTGAACTACAGGTGTGCTCTGAGAATGAATTACTCTGATCCCTGTTTCCACATTCAACCCAATGAGTCTTAACATCCAGATAATAAGTTTCTCCTTTCTTTGAATCACAATCTTTCAAGAACAGGTCGTATTAAATTACAGAAAAATGCTTAACACCGTATGAACGGCGAATGAGCAGTTCAGAGAAAACGAGTGAATTCTAAAGTACTACAACTAGAGTGATTGTTCTGACACTGATTTGTGCATTTGCTTATGTTACAAAATTGAACTGAACTAAGGGTCTCATTAATTACAAATATGAGGAAGTGTGGAGCCCATAGGGGAATTGGGCATTCTGGTTTGTAAAGCTAGGTAGTCTATGCAAAACACAAAAAAAGATGTCTAAGGCAAAACTGTCTGAAACTATTAAACTATGACTCCACCCGTAAGCTATGCAAAGAGTGACTTCTAGCTGAGACAAGCTCAGTGCAGCTCCTCCTGGCGTGTCGAAAAGGGTGGATCTTTTTTGG